TTTGACACGAACCAAATCGACACGGGGATATTTATTTTTCGGGATATTCTACGATTAGTTTAGGTGCTAATTTGGTCATAGATGGATGAAAATTTTGAAATAACAACCTCATTTCTGGTATCCGGGGACCTCAAAACGTGTGTTTCCGTTGGAATCTCGAAATCGATTTACCGCGGCATTGTTTAACATTTCTCTATACTACGTATACTATTACTTCGTATCAGAAAATGTATTCGAGAAAGTAACTAGTGATGCTAAAGAATGGCACAGACTTTCTAGCATTAGCTAAGTTTGCTTATCTCCTCAGTCTGCCCTATCGTTTAGGTTTTGGCCCACCTATCTTTGCCCCAATCTCAGCTGCCGTCTTTTGGCTTTTAAAATACTTTTTTAATGTTTTCTCAATTTTGGGTTTCTACTATTATAAAACATAAATATGTCTTTAATACTATCATAGAGGGGAGATTTAACCCAACAAATGTTGCATTTACTGCAAAATGCGTGTACCTATTTTGTAAGTTTCCTTAAACAATATTCTTTTCACACTTTCCAACCATATGCTTTTTCATGTTTTATCTAATATTGACATCACTTAGGACAACTTTTGTATTATATCTAAGATCATAATGGAGAGAAATAAATTATTTGAATCATCCCATACAATTCACAATAAGCAATAAGAGGCCAGTGTTCACCACGGTCCTGAGTACCATACAAAAGAGTTTGCTCCGATATGTAGCACAGATGCAGTTGTATATGCACCATGCTATAACTCATGTATGCAATTGTAGGTGTTAAGAGAGTTGCACTAAGAGGAAAGTTCCTGAATTCCAGCTGTATTCGGAATGTTTCTAAATTGACAGCCAAACACATGGGTCTAGAATAAGTGCATTGTGTAATGAAAAAATACGCGTTTTATAGGTTTGTTAGCTCTATTAAGCGATTGCTGGTTTTCTTTAATTTTCATTTTTTAAAAAATTTGTTACGTTTTTTCGTAACAAGTTTACTTAACCATTTACTGGTGTGTAATGTGGAGTAATCCTCCGTTAAGTTAGTCGGTCGATTCCTTTTATCCTTTCGATCTGGGGCTGGGTGCCATTATATCCCTGGGGTTCCCAGAGTCACCCATCCAGGAACCAGCAGTTGCATCGAGTTACTTAGCTTCCGTGACTTCACGGAGCTTAGTTAAGCAATTTGGCAACATACACCGGGATTTTGATTTTCTACTCCTATTGTATAATTGATGTGTCATTTGATGGCGGCAACCCGTTGCAAAATGATACTCATAACAGTACATAATTCATTTTGATTTATGTTCTTGACCAATCACACAGAAGTTTAAGTATTGACATTTCTTTAATCATTGAGAATCGTTCTAGGAAATGTTTTGTTCGATTGTGTTAATTAAAATTGCATTTATTATTATATTATGCTTATCAGTTTAAATTTTATTATTATTATTTTTATGTTGAATATTTATTAAAATAAATTGGATCGTAATTTCACTTTGATCCTATTGGACTAGCGCAGTGTTAGTGGTAGAGGGAACATTTGGCTTATGACGTTAAGATCAGAACGTATTTCGTACGTCATTTTGTGTTGTATGTTGCTGCCCTGTGGTTATCCTTAAAAATTAGTTTAAAATATCTTTTGAATCAAAGGTGTAGTTGACACCTCCATAAATAAGAGAAAAAGTGAAAATGGTGACATCGGAATTATTGCCTCATCTTTCGTACTTCCTCGCAGGTAGTCTGGAAAAACAAAGCCACCTGCGGTAGGTGGGTAGAAAGCTGTCGCTAGGTGGCTTGGGCTGAATCCTGCATGTCAACTGCCACGAAACGATTCCATGTAAAAGTTTAACGTATAAAAGTTACCATAAGTCATAGAAAAGTATCGTACGAAACTCGATGTAATGGGTATTAATACACTCATGTGAAGTTTACGATACTCGTATATTAATACCCATTATTACATCATTGTCTCATAATGTACTATTGTACTTATTAGAACTGAATAAGAATTACGCTACATCGGTTCATGCTCCGCCTATACATCTCTCAAATTATCTTCATCCATTGCATATAACTTTCATTACTCAAACTCCTATTCTTGCAGAAGTAGTCAAAAGCGCAATGAATTTGAGTGTAAAATGTTTTCTTAATTTTTTCGTACAACAGTATATTGATTTCGATATCTATAAAAATATTAAGGATTTTCCCCCGTATTTCTTAGTAGTTTCATACACAGAATAAAAATACATTTGTTGTTTTCTACTTTCTCCAATACGTACGCATATGGAGTAATATACATAGTATAGAGAAAATTAAGTAATGCTGTAGAATTTGAAACGAATTTTGTTTGGGAGGGGGGGCTTTGCATGAAGCCCCTGGGATATTAAAAAAATGGCTCCAAATTTTTTGATTAAATTTTGTAGTTGAATAGTGTATTGGACGTTTGAGAGCATGGTGCAAGTTCCATTTTCGTTAACGTTCCCTATTTTTTGAAACTTGAAAAAAAGTTAAAACTTCAAAATTGGAGATAAGATTTTTGTCTCAAAATCTGTTGTACATAATTAGCTCTTCAAAAATTGTCGTGTACAGTTTTTTGAAAAATGAGATATCAGATTGGAATGCTACAATGACTCGACATCAATGACTCGGAAGCTCATTTTTGAGAATTTCGCCTTATTGTTGTGACATGATTTACCTGCATGAAAATCAGTTATAATTGTGAAATTTGTGTTGATATTTGCTTGAATATATTTAGTTTTTGCACCAAATGTACGATTTATAAGGAGAAGGGTTGGGTAGTATTTAAATACTTGTGTATGAAATATGTATTTTAAATAATTCATTTGTTCATCCACGCCAGTTGAATGAATTTGCAGCATTTATATATTCGCAAAATAGCGATTAATTTGTTTGAAAAATCAGTCTTTTTTAAGGAAATTACATTTCTTTGTGTTATATTTTTGATATTTTATATTTAAAGTGTTTATACATATGGTTACAATACATTACAATATTTATTGTTCAGAACTTTATGACAGTCAATTACTAATTTACTGTAATCGAAAAAACATTGTTGTAATAAAAATATATAATACTAAATTTTTACAGTATTTTGAGAACAATGTACTTCCTGGAATTAATTCTTACATGTTGAAAAGTTGTAAACGTAAGAATTCTGCAAAATAACAAGTCATTATCCCGAAGAATGACGTTCGCGCGCTTTTTAGAGGATCGGGACGGAAACGCGCTAGTAAGCAACACCGTGCGCGAAGCGTGCTTCATTCAAATCGAGCGATAAGTTTCTTAGAAGAGTTCTTACCCTTCCCTCGGCGTACTGGGAGCAATGGAAGGACCATCACTCCTAGAATATCTTACCTCTGATATTAACCAGATTTTCAGCAAAGCTGAAATTTGATGCATATAATACAAATATAAATTTTGCTGGATTGAAGTTAGAATGAAGAAAAGTTTTAGATTTTTACTATTTTCGAAAAATTACGGTTTTCAACGAAAATGAGACTTGCACCATTCGCATAAATATCATTCAAACTATCGAACAATAAAATTTAATCATAAACGTTGGAGCCATTTGGTTGTTTTGAGAATGTCCCAAGGACTTCATGTAAAGGAAAAGGAATAGCTAAAATTTCAAATGATTAAAGATTCATTCCTTTTTTTATTTTATTAAATAAATTGAATTACATAACTAGTATAAAAAGTATTACATAACTATTGCTAAAGGCGAGAAAGTATGTGCTGTTTTATCACCATTAGTTAGTATTTTATATATGACTCTAGTAATAGTAAGATAAGTAATGCAAAATATTCTGTTACAAATAAATAATAACTTAAAGAGTACAATAACGTATGTGCAATATTGAAAGCAAACAGCTTGAATAAAATTTGCCTTATTCAAGTGTTCAGCTTGGCAGAACGGATGGAAAACTGGATTATGCAAAACCCTTGGCACAAGTGAATACCGAGCATATGTGGACTGTAACTGTGCTCCATCAACATATTACAGGTTAACAGAAGAATTTCTCTTATTTATTCTTGAAGTTTGTTGTTTTTATTAATATACTTAACTACTTGCTTGCTCATTATTGTTGGTAAACATACAATATTTAATAGCCAATGTATTTTTTCTTGTGAATTGGAAATGGATTTTTAGGTTATTAGAAAAAGAAAGTGATACTACATTCACAGAAACTACAATTATTTCTACTTCAGCGGACTCATCAGCACTTTCAACAATTTCAACTGGGTCTTCTTTTACTTCAACTACTCAAATGGATTCAAATTCTTCAGCTTTTATCACATCCGATTACCATCTTACTAATGATGAGGTTAAGTAAGTGATTGTATAAGAAAGATTATGAATAAATTTGTTTTTTTTACTTTGAAAATAAATAATAATTTAATACGGATAATGAAAGTTCAATTTTCCGTTCCAAATTGCCTCGTAAGAGTGTATGATGACCATGTTGTATTTGTTGGTTTTGTTTCAAAACTTTATTACAACTTTTTGCATTTTACAGTAGTATAATGAAAACTTTGGAGAATCATTTGGGGCGAGGAAAATACTCAGAAGCTCTTTCAATCATCAAAAATGTTTTACACACTCTAAAGAAAAATAATGATGGGCTCTTTAAAAAAGCTTTGCAACAGGTAGAAGAAATACTCCTACAAGAAATAAAAATAAGGCAAGAAAGGTGAGAAATATTATATATATA